TTAAGCTTGGGGCTCCAGTAGGCCTTGAATATGCCCAGACCCGAAGACCCAATTGCTAGCCCCTAGAAGGTTGTCAGTCTCAGACTTCAGGTTGCCAGAATAGGGGCTACTTACATCCTGCACAATGGTTCTACTGAGGATATTACTGGCAGATGTGCAAAGGATCTCAGCTTGAGGCTGTGGAACTGCAAATGGTAGACTGGAGCTGGTGGCCACAACACATTTCAGGCAACAGGAGCAGGGTGACCTGACTTCTTCTACCTTTTGTCCTCCTTGTTTCCTTCTCTACTCAGCTCAAAATGGGGACGGAAGCCTCAGATTAAAGTATGGTGGGGGATTAGGGAGAGCTCAAAGGCCTATATTAGAGGCCAGAATTTTGAGGGTTGCCCATGGCTGTCTTCCTCCTATTTCTAGGGAGACATGCAATTTCAGAGCAGCCACATGGAAGAAGCTGAGTGTGTAGTGTGGGGTGGGAAGGTTTACTACGGGTGATTGGAAAAAGCAGACAGAGGATGATGGTTAGGTTTGGTAGGGCAACATTGCCAAGGAGAGGAACGGCACCACAAAGGTCACACAGATTGACTCCAAAGATCCAATTCAGACCTGGGTTCAAATGTCTACTTCCCTACTTATTAGCAGTGTGTGGCACACAGTAGGTGCTCAATAATTACTGACTGAATGAATAAATAAAGGTGGCCTTGGCCAAGTCACTTATCCTCTCTGAGCCCCGGTTTCCTCATGTGTAAAATAAATAGTAGCTACTATTCTTATTATTTCACCTGTGTTGTCTTTCCCCATACCAGCATCAGTTGGTCCATCTCCCTACTCCTAACCTTATAGAGGTGCAGATGTGCACAAGGCCATTCTATTTCTTCTTGTGTCCTCTGCTTCCCTCTCCTCTTCTCCTCCCTACCTCCTGATCCCCTTTTGTTTCTTTTTCTCTCCCAGGCAAACTTGGGGTATGGTTCTGGGACTTCAAAGCAAGTATTGAAACACTTAACACTTCCACACATTCTCACAGATGCACAAGTCACATTCTCCCACCAGAAGGTTGAACCTAGGCTGCAGCATGGAGCTCTGAGCCCCCTAGGAACCCCTACTGTATTCCAATGTCATCAGTACCAGAGACTAGAACACCTCCTACTTCTACTCCCATTTTCTCATGCAGAGCTAGCTGGGCTTGGGGAGCTAGACCCCTCTGGGGATTAATCACATCAGCACAATTCCAACTCTGGAAGGTTCACAGTAAGGCAATTTCTCTGGAGTACATTAACCAGAGGAAAGGCAACAAACTTCGGGCATAGGAAGATGGTAGGAGGATGATTTTACATAGTAGCCATAAGCTAGGCTAAGCCATCCACTCTCCACCCTGTGCTTTCTTGTGAATGATACATACCTTCAAGATAGTTCAAGGGCACAAAAAGCGCCTTTTCTCTATATGAAGCTAACAGTTTAAATGGACTTTCCATGGTCTTATTTTTTTCTCTTTTTCCTCTTGGAAAGACTAATGTGGTAAAAATGGGATAAAGTGAGTTCTAAATTTGCCTGTCCCTTCAGTCATCCTGTGGCACATGGAATCCATCTCTATAAGATGAACCTTCTCAGTTTTGATTTCCAGTAGGCCGAAATTTCATCTGTTGTGCTCTTAAGGGATACGATGAGAAAGAGGAAAAACTCAAGCTCAGAGTCTGAACAAATCCAACTAGACTTGCAAGTGAAACTCCCTCAAGTAGAGTGGAGTGGAATCCATCCACTATCTCATTGCCATTTCATCTCCCAGATCAATCTGTGCTTCCTACTCCGCTCTTTGTTTTTCATGAGGTAGGGTTAGGGGAGGGAAGGCACAGTGGGAAATAGCCAGCTTTGCTGAGGTTTTTATATGCAAGAACAAATGACAGTCTTGTAGACAGGTTCAGGAAAATCTTTCAGAATTCAGAAAATTCAGCAGTCTTTCCACACTGACCATTGTCATGGCAACGCACTATCTGATGGCAGCATGCGTCACCAGGCTGGAGGGGCACAGTATCAGTATAGTAGGTTAGCCTGGCCATTTTTAGAAACATTTGGACTTTTTTTCTAGCCTTATTTCTTCTAGGTTTAGCTGAATTTCTTTTTGGTTCTGGGCTCATGTGCCCTGCTCATTTGCATGGGTAGAACACAAGACTGTCGATATGAAAGGGATGGCTAAATGGAAAATCCGAACATTCCTAGTATCCTATAGCTGCTCTAGTTGCTGTCTGCCCTCCCTGGCTCCTCCTCATCCACTCTTAGCTACTTAGTTTCTCTTCTCCGCCTCAATTCTTTCCTACACACAGCATTGGCTCCCCCCACCCAACAACTGTGACTCATCTACCAACCCCTGCACTCTCACCATATTCTCTTTTTTCTTTCTATTTTCTCATTGCAACATACAGTGTCCTAGAATCTTAGGGTTGGAAGGAAGCTTAACAATAATTTAGTCCAATCACCCTCCCCCAAGTTAGGAACTCTTCTATAATATGATAGCCTAGAGATTGTCTAGCCTCTATTTGTATATCTCTAGTGACAGATAACTCATTCCTTTCTGGATAGTCTATTCCACTTTGGATAGCTATAATTGTGAGAAATGTCTTCCTTCTATTGAATGAAAATTTGCCTTTTTATAATATTCACCCAGGGTTCCAGCTTTATGCCCTGTGGCCATATAGACCCTGTCTATGTCTCCTGCTCTGTGACAGCCTCTTGGAGATATGAGATAGAAAACACATTTTTCTGGGGCTTCTCTTTCCCCCCAAAGCCCTAGCTCCTCCAATCAGACCTCTTGGACCCTGAGCTGCAGTCCTCTCTCCAGCCCGACTGACCTCCAGGTACATGCTCCTATTTGTCTAGAGTCTTTTAAAGTGAGGTCGACACAGCATCAGCATCTCTGGAGGCCACCTTGCCCTGGTGACTCATACTGAGCCGAGTCAACACACATCCCCAACTCTCTTTCAGACAAAATGTTGCTAAGCCATCTCTTCCCATTCTGAATGTGTCCAGTTGCTTTTGAGGATCCAGTTCCTAGTCCATATGTTTTTTCCCCCAGTTTAATTTCACTGTACTACAACCAGAGTACTGCTTTAATCTGCTAGGATTTTAAAAAAACTTGACTTCTATGCAATATTTATGCCCTCTGAGATATATTATTTTTTCCCCAACCTTCATCCTAGTCTTTTCTCTCGATCAATCCTTTTTGATTTATTCCTCTTTTAGATTTCTTACCTTTCCTAGTTCTCGTCCCCATGCATTACCTTCCTTATGTCTTCCCTCGTTTGTTATTTCCATTTCCTCAAAAGCAAGATGTCATAATTCTCTGAAGCTATGTGCCTGGGTATGTGTGCAGGGAAGCAAGGGCATACACATGTCTGCACATATGGAAGTGTGAGCCAATAGCTGCAGAGGCTTGTTTAGTTTTTCTGTTTCTATTGCTTTGTCAGTGCTCTACCAGGATTTAAGTCTGGATGGGGGGAAAATAGCAAGGTTGAGGGAAGAGGAGTAAGAGAAGTTGGTCCAGGATCAGTCCTGAGGGACACAGGACATATGTCCTACGTATGTGGGGAGCAGGGGAAACTAGGGTGGGATGGTGAGTGTTTATCAGGGTTTCTGTACAGTGAGAAGGACTGGAGAAGGGCCAGTAATAGAACAATTTTGAAGGCCTTAAAGGTTAGACAAGGGAGGAGGATTTGGTTAGGAAGTAAGTACCTGTCGGGTTGGTAGCCATGGAGAGGCCAGAGGGAGATGGCTTGAAACTATAGGGTCAGGAGAAGGCTGAGGGCTATGGGACATTTCGGAAAGGTCACTAAAGCAATGGGTGTAAGTATGACCTTAAGAGTATATGATATATTAGCTAAGAAAATTTTATCTGGCCAAAGGCACCCAGGACATGAAGATTTTGCTGCTGTCATAGACTGGGCTCTGCTAGTGGACAGGGGTCTTAATATAACCCCAAGCAAAGACCCTCAGGACACAGAGTGTTCCCTCAGACTAACTCCAGCGAGGAATAGGCCCCCCTTTCCCACTGAATTATATTCCAATAAGGGAGTCAGAGGTAGGAGAACTGGTGCTATCTTGGTCATTCTATGAATAAACAAAGGAACTTTACTTTCCAGGGTGGGCAATAGGATACCCTTGGACTCTTAACTCTGGCAAATAATTAGGATCTAACACACACACACACACACACACACACACACACACACACACACACACACACACACACACATTTAATTAAACAGGAAAATGGTGCCTAAAATACTTAACACAAATGGTGGACGAAGTGAGTTGTGAAGAAGCAGCTGATTGGGAGGGAGGCCCTACTGAAATGCTAAGGATGGTGACCCAAACAGCTAGTGGATGGTGGGATCAGGAGGGCAGTGTCTTGAGGACTGCCACTTTCCCTCCACCCTGGGGACAGAATGATTCCAGGGCAGCCTCAGGGAAGGCAAGGAGGATAGGACAGCAGCCCTGTCTCCAGCACTGCGGGTGAGACTGGGGAATTCACTCTGATTCAGGGCACCAGAATCCCTGACTACACATTGTAGTTTCACAGCCTCTTAAGGCTCTATTGGCCCAAGGGACATACATATGGGGACAGAATCTCTGTGAGTCCCCTCCCTATCCTTACCCTGCCAAATCTGGATAGAACTGAACTTTCCTTATCTTAAAGAGGGCTGTAATGTTAGACTTTTGAAAGACAAAGGGTCTCAGGACACACTTTAGAATTGATTTTCCTCTGGAGGTGCCTAAAGCTGAACCTTTTGTCCTTCTGAGGTGACATTAGCTAGCCAAATGACAATCCTAACCAGAATGGCCAGTGTAGAATTCCAACTACATGCTATCAGGCCAAGAAGAGATTTTCCTTCCAACTCAGTGAAACACTTAGCCACCAAAAGACAAATGGTATTTGATGAGGAAGCCCCCACTGACGGGCCATCACAAACTGGGTGGGACAAGGAGGGCAGGCCTTGAGAGGTGGTGCTCACCTTTGATGTAGTTGAGGATTTGCTGGATTCGCTGGGGCTCATTGCGGTCTGGCCGGCAGCTTGGCGTGATTTCCAGCACATAATCAGGACCATATGCTGTGAAAAACTGTAAGGAAAAGGGAAAGGCCAAAAAACAAACTAAACCACATAAAACCTCCAAACCAACCACATGTAAACAGGACAATCAAAAGAAACTCACCACTACCAACAAGGCAAGGGAGGCCTTGTTGGGCAGAGCAGGATGATGCAGCAGGAAGCCCTACCCTGGTGGTATCACTCTTCCTGTTCAGACCTTCGATGACCATCTACTGTGAAATTCTTTAGCTTGCATTCAGGGGTCTTTCTGCTCAGATCTCAACTTTTTTCTAAACTTAGCTCTTGCTGCTCCCCTGTCCTCTGGTCACCCTAGACTGCTCGGTGCTCTCCTGAATCACACCATGCTTGTCTTCCCTTAGGATAATTGCCATTGCTCTTTCCTGGGGCCTGCAATCCTTGTTGCCTGCGAAAAACCTCCCTATCCTTCCAGGTGCAGCTCAAATGTCACCCCTTCATAAAGCTGTCCCTCACTCTCCACCAACCTCCAGAGCATTCTGTTGGTCCCTCTCTCAGAGCCCTTGTTCAGATACACAGTGCTGACCTGCATGTCACATGCAGGTCACTGTGCTGGCTGCAGTGGGGGAATATAAGAATTTCTGAGACCTCCTTTGGGGTCCTCTAGGTGTTTATAAGCACATTCTGCATCGGATAGAGATTTTTCAACAGTGACCTGATCTTCCCCCACTGGATTAACAGCTCCCTGAAGGCAGGTAGCACCTGCGTCTTATTTATCTCCTTGGTTCTCACAGACCATGGCAGTTGCCTGTTAGTTTTGGTTGCCCTGAATTTCCTGGCCCAGGAATGGCAAACAAACCTAGTATCTCTACTTTAGTTTTACTTTCTCTGTAGTAGAGTTTATTTGTTTTTAAATAAGGGAATCAAAATAAATGTTTATGGATTCTATTTCTAGCTTGTTAGATAGCTCCTTAAGACCTTTGGTAAGTCACAATGTCTGATTCAGCTTCTCTGGTAGGGCCCACTTGGTGAAAACACTCCATGACAAAGGGAATCATTCAATTGGGAGATGTCTTTGAATGGGAAATATGCAAAACTACTATTTCTGTTTAGTTTTTAACAGAAATAGTATTTGTGCACACTCTCTGGAGAGAGAGCATATGGTCATTAACATTATGTGCTTTCAATAGTGATATTGTTTGGTGGTAAGTAAACCAGGGAAATTCAAATTCCATGAAAAAATAGCACAGAGGGCACAAAAAAAGGGATCTTGTTATGTGTCATGACTTTGATGCCATTGCTACCAAATTATCATTGTTAAGAGTTGGGACACAGGACTTTGGGAGGCCAAGGTGAGAGGACTGCCTGAGCCCGCGGGTTCGAGACCAGCCTGGGAAACTTGGTGAGACCTCGTCTCTACAATAAATCATAAAAACTAGCCGGACGTGGTGACATGCATCTGTAGTTCCAGCTACTTGGAAGACTGATGTGGAAGAATCGTCTGCACTCCAGCCTGGTGACAAGAGTGAGACTCCAACTAAAAAAAAAAAAAAAGAGTTGCGATGCAGAAGAACTCAAATCGCTCTATGAAAAAGAACTTTTTGCATCCCAACTCTATGAAAAAGAGTTGGGATGCAGAAGAACTCAAATCGCTCTATGAAAAAAGCACATGCATGTTTATTGCAGCATTGTTCACAATAGCAAAAGCATGGAACCAACAGTGCTGTCCATCAAAAGAGGATTGGATAAAAAAAAATGTGGTATATATACACAGTGGAATATTATGCAGCCATAAAGAAGGACAAATTTATGAACTTCACAGCAACTTGGATGAACGTAGAGTCTATAATACTGAGTGATCTATTGCAGAAACAAAGAACTGAGTATCACATGTTCTCACTCATAAGTGGACCTTGAAATATTATTGTAACACTATTAGAAAAGGATTGTCAGTAGTGGGAAATTGCTGGGGATGGGGTGGGATTGGCAGTAATGGGCTTCTGCTGGTGGGGGAGGCATACCTCATCAACAAGGGTACCTGCATAATGAACATTTGTATACTTAACTCTGAATTATACCCTACATCCTTAAAAAAAAAAAAGTTGGGATGTACATCTGGCACTGGGAGGGATGTTGTGGAACAATCTCTAGAGATTCTAACATTGTCTTTGTGAAATCCATGAGAGCAATTTGATGGGAAGATGGTTCTTGCACATCCATGACAGAAAACTCTACACATTTAATTAAAAGCAAAATGCCCATGACAGTGCCAATGCTTATGTGTGTGTGTGTGTGTGTGTGTGTGTGTGTGTGTGTGCACGCGCGCGCGCGCGAGAGAGAGAGAGAGAGAGAGAGAGAGAGAGAGAGAGAGAGAGAGAGAGACACGTGGACTGATTAAAAAGAGAGAGGGGCTTAGGTTCTTCCTGTTGAAGTATTTACTCTCTGATGCCCGAAGCCCCGAGTTCTAGAGATAGAAAAGGCCTTGAGTAGAGATTGTCTTTACCAAACCCATAAGTGGAACATAAAAGAGGGGTTACCTGGGGGACACATCCAGAACTATCCCCTCATCATAGTTGAGGAAACTTGAGAGGCTTATATTTTTAGCCAAGGAGGGCCCCTCAGTCCCATGAGGACCTTGTGGGCTTGGCTCTGGAAGAGAAGATTTCAAACAGGTGTGACTCTCTCTCCTCAGGCAGCCTCTTCTCCAGAGCATGCCAAGTGGTACACTCATTTCATGGGTATGGAAAGACAGGCTTACAGAGCACAACAGAAGAAAGGCAGCTGTAATACAGCAGCCCCTCTAGGAGACCCAAAGCCCTGGCATCAAAGCGCTATAAAAATTAGGGGCAGGGTGCCTAGCTGAGGTATAGGAGGAGGGAATGTTCTGCCTCTATGTGTGAAGACGACACTGCTGATCCTCAGTCAGCAAGATATGTCAGGAGCTGCTTGCTTCTTAGGGCTGAGTGTTTGGAACAATACATCCTCATTTGTGAGGGCCTACTATATGGTTATGTGGTTACCTGCATTCTCCTGCATTCTCTTTGACCAAGAATAAATGGTTGCAAGATTGTCAGCTGGGGCCAGGACTGATTGCCACGTGACAGAACTCAGCTTTACTGGGATTAAGCTTCCTGTACTGGCTACATTAGCACTTGGCTTTAACTAACTGAGTCACACAGTGGGCAAAGTCATAAATAACCCATTCTTTACTGAGGTAGGCAGGCTGCAGGTAACAGCCAAGCCTGGGTCCCTAAACTTCTCCCCACCTTTGCCAATCAAATATTAGTCCCAGGTCCTGCTTATTTGTACTATTCTTAGGCCAGAGGACTCAGGTGGCTTAAGAAAGTCCCTGTATTGTGAGGCAGTTCCATATGGCAGCTGGTTGGCCCTGGCCTTGGGAGGCTCTGCTTGGGGCTGAGGGAAGCAGTAGGCACCAGGAAGTTATAGGCTGCATCTGAGGCAAAGGTGGCAGACTGTTTCCCTTCTCTGGCTCTGTCATGGCATCTCTGTTTCTGTGTTATATTTTTATTTTTGCACTCATTAAATCTTTTCTACTGGACTATGAACTCTGCAATAGCGGAAGCTTCTGTCATGTTCTCTTCGCATACCCTGTAGAGTTGAACTTAAGTCATCACAAGTTTCCCTTAAATGTATGTTGAATTAAGTTAATCCACCAAGGATTTAGCTAGCCATTCAGTTAATTGTGTGGAATAATTCAAAGAGTCAACTCATAGCATCAACAGTTTTCTAGACTTTTGAGGCAGCATGATAAAGTGGAAAGAGCACTGGTTTTAGAGTTAGAGAGAGCTGGATTTTGGGACTGGACCTATTTTTAATCTGTTTCATCATTTCTACCAGAGGGATGATAAATGCTGACCTGGTTGGGCTGTTAGGAACAAATGAGATAATATTTACAAAAGGGCCTACTACAGGGCCCAGCCCACAGTAGGACTTCAATAAATGTGAATTCCCTTCTCTTGGGGCAAGAGGTCCTTGCCTATCTGTGCCTTATCCATACCCTGAAATATGTCAGATGAAGTGCTTGAGGTTGAGATATAGAAAGAAGAGCCGGTTCCTCCTGCCAGATCAAGCCTATGAGCCCCACTGTCCTTCCCTACTTGCTTAAACCATAAACTCAGCCTAGGCCCTGTGAAGAAACTGAGTTTTCTCATAGTTTCCTGTCCTATGGTCCTCCACTTGTTACTTACTGGTGAGGTGGAAAGGAAATATGATCACGTAAGGCAAAAGAGATGTTGGGGTAGAGGGATTTGGCCAGCACTAGAAATAGCTAGAGGCCCCACCCTAAAACTGTCCTCCAGCCTTGAAGAGGAAAGAAAGTGGGCAAGCAGCAATCCCATTCCCAGACAGGTGGAGCAGGGAATGAAAGAGGCCAGCCGACCTTCAAGGGAAAGGCTGGCTTTGGGGAAAGGCTGACTTTGATCTCTGTAAAGGAAGGAGGGAGGTGCTAACCCTTCTCCACCTCTTCCCCTTTCCCTCTCAGCACTCCTGCTTTCTGGGTTTCAGCTTTTACACTTTTAAGAGGAACCTGGCACTGGGAAGGGGGTAAATGGGAAGAAAGTATGAGATGGGGTAGAGGGATGGGAGTGGAAGGTAATGACTACTTCCTGACCCAAGAGGCAATGCATGAAGAAATGTCAACAGCTCAGCCCAACTCAGTGCTCCTTTTTTGTTCACTCATCCTCAGCTTTTGCTCACACAATGGAAACAGCATCCAATGGAGATAGTTGGTCAAAAAAGGTATTCAGAAAAAGCCTCAAGGTCGCTGTTATTCCTCCATAATCATGCTTGGTCACAGGAAACGAAGCCACAGATCTGAATTAGCCAATCCTTATATTCTTGTCTCAACATTAGTAAGTACCTACTATGTGCCCAGCTAGGTTAGTCAGTGGAGTACAAAGACAATAAGACATGTTTAATAGGAGCATTTAACAGGCATTCTAGAGCAGTGTGATGAGTGGTATGATAACAATACTAAAAATAAAACAACAGCTAACACTTACTACAGGTTTATTATGTGGCAGGTACCTAAACTGA